TATAGAATGAATTGCTATTTTTGGTAGGGTTCTGTATATTCCATAAAAAGAACCTTTCTGTATATAATATTTTCCTTTTTATATTATCTGCAGTATTCTGCAGTACATCATAGCATTTCCATTTTTAAACACACATTCCGTGATTTCTGTGGCATTCTGCGCTATGCAGAAAATCATTGTCCCTGGTATGTATGTTAATATAATAATAAAAAATATATCTGGATTGATCAAAATAACCTGTTTTAAATATAACCAGTTTTTGCATTAGAAAAATTTTGGATCTGAATTTAAATATTGAATGTGGTTCTAACCACTAATCATTAATTTATTGTTGAATCATCACAAGGATTCTCTTTTTTATACTATAGCTATTTTTATTATTAAATATTTGAGTTAACTCAATAGCAAAATATCCTTAAATTTTCACCAAATGAAGAAATTTTATTGCTAAAAGTTATTATTGAGTTGCCATTGCCACAATACTGAACTCCTACTTAGTCATATTAAAAATTTAACTATTTTACTGTAACTATCATTAAATTAACCCAAGTTTGTTAATAAAATAAATGCTCATATAAATTATCAATAGACCAATTCAAATTTAAGATGTTTGATAGCAATTACTTTCACATTAAATCAATATTAATTACTGATTATTGTAAATTTAATATAGGTAAATTTTTCCCCTGTGATGACAAAATCCTTGGCTTTTTTTTTGGAGGTGAATCTGAGTTTGATGGCAAGTATATCTTTGCTCACTTTGACAATGGTGGAGGTGTTATATTCGAAGTTTCACATGATCTTAGTAATTGTTGTAATAGTTCCTCTTCATTAATATCATTCTCATCTCCTTGTTCAACCAAATGGATTGTATTTGCAACAATTGTCTGTGGGAATTAAAGTACAAAGAAAAAATTTTTTAAGATACAGCAATGAAAGTTATAACAAACAGAAATAGATATTAAGCAAAAATTCACTTTTGCCACCCATGCTAGTAAAATGGCTGGAAGTGCCTTTGCACCAAACTCAGCAACTTGTGAAGGAATGATAAAAGTTTTTGAGCGTGTAATGCGACATGTATAGCCAGAAGGAGAGTCAAGCCTCAGCATCATCATTGTGAGCCCTTGACAAATGATCAAAAGTTGAATTAAAAAAAAACTCTGATTGGGGATTTCAACAAAAAAGAAACATACCTGCATGCAAGAACCCAATTGTCTCTATTTTTCGAATTTTTTGTTCGTCCCAATCAACAGCTATGCAAAGATGATAAAACATATCTTTAATCATCTTAGGAGTTTTTAGGCCTCTCTCCTGCAATAATTTGGTATCATTTTCTCCTTTATAAATCATTCCCATTTCAGAACATCCATATTCCAAAGAGATTTTGCAAATGATCAAATCCCCTCTTTGACCTAATATCTTCCTTCTAACTTTTGTTAGTGCAGAAATGGTCCGTTGCTTATTCTTCCTTTCAGATGATGAAAGGCTGCAAGATTCACCTTTATGGAAAGAACAACTTTGGTGAGAAAAAAGAATTAGTTCATAATTTCAAAAAAAAGGAAATATATTTACCTCACAGCCTCTACATCTCCTAAATTTTCAAATGCCTTATCAATAAAGCTCCAGACATGCAGTAACAACCACATTTCTAAGTGATCCTTTTTGAGACTTTCTGCTTCATATTCCCGCAACCTATAAAATTGGAATGTATAGTTAGATTAGAGTTCAGTTCAAAGAAACATAAAAAGGCACAGGTATAATTTAATAGTGCATGCAAATTATAAACTGTGTTTCATATCCAGTCACAATCAAAATCTTTCTGCCGATTGAAGTTTTGATCCATATCTTCTTGCTGGAAAATCAATCGCCTAAGGTCAATAGTTGTTTTCTGCTCAAAAGGACATAAATCTTAGAGAAGCAACAAGTCATAAAAGTATATACAACAATTTACAGTAATTTACTTACTGGACAGAAACTGTTAAGGTATGTCAAAAGTTCTTTAGGCATTGTTGGGAGTTGTTTTTCCTGAAAATTCCAAATCTCAGCCAATTCACTTTCTGTAAAAACACCATTATTCAGATAATTTTTGTCATCCAGATCTAATATAAAGGAATGGGAATAGTGATGGGCGGGTTTATAACAACCTAGTTTATACCCTGTTATATACCTGTTATATACCATGTTATATACCATTAC